GGGCTTTGTTGACATGTCTTCAGCAAACTGTTTGCGGGCTTTCTTGTGTATTGCCTTCAGAAGAGGCTTCCTCCTGTGGTGACAGCCATGCACACCAATTTAATGTAGTGTGCGGCGTATGGTCTGAACACTAACAGGCTGAATCCCAATCTCTTTAATCTCTGCAGCAATGCTAACAGCACTCCTACGCCGATCTTTCAAAAAAAGCATTTGGATGTGACGCTTAGCACGTGCGCTCAGCTTCTTTGGACGGCCTGCCCGAGGCCTGTTCTGAGTGGACCCTGCTCTTTTAAAATGCTGGATGATCTTAGCCACTGTGCTACAGCTCAGTTTCAGGGTGTTGGCAATCTTCTTGTAGCCTTGGCCATCTTTATGTAGTGCAACAATACGTTTTTAAGATCCTCAGAGAGTTCTTTGCCATGTGGTGCCATGTTGGAACGTTCAGTGACCGGTAAGAAAGTGTTAGAGCTGCACTACAAATTTGAATACACCTGCTCCCCATGAACACATGGGCATATTTACACTAATGAGTCACATGACATTTTGAGGGAAAATGAAAAGGGTAATCAATTTAGACATTTAGGTGTAGTTTCTTAGGGTGTACTCACTTTTTAGGGGTGTAGTTTCTTAGAGATGTACTCACTTTTTGCTGCCAGGGATTTAGCTTTTAATGGCTATAGTTTGAGTTATTTTGAGAGGAAAAAATTAACTCTGTTATATATGCTGCAGACAGACTACTTTTCATTGTGTCTAAAGGTAATTTTTCAGTGCTGTTCCATGAAAGATATACTTAAATATTTGAAGAAATGTGAGGGGTGTACTTACTTTTTTGTATATATATATGTCTATATATATATATATATATATATATATATATATATATATATCAATATATATATATATATATATATATATATATATATATATATATCACAGTGGAGTATATATATATATAAAAATAAAAAGGCTTAAACACTAAAATAAATAAAAGGCTTAAACACTAATATTCCATGGTCATAATTTATTCCAATGGATATATATATATATATATATATATATATATATATATATATATATATATATATTCCAAATGGAATAAATTATGACCATGGAATATTAGTGTTTAAGCCTTTTTATTATATCCTTACTCTGTCCTGGACATTGAGTTCTACCTGATTCTTCCTCTTGAATTTTTTTTTTCTGAAAATATACATGTATGGGTATTTATATATTTTGCATATGTATGTATATTTTCCACTAATATTATCTACATTATCTATATATATATATATATATATATATATATATATATATATATATATATATATATATATATATTAAAACTGATCCACAGAATGAAATCAATGTGTTTATTATAACAGAGTATATATAATTACACAACCTTAGGTTGTGCCGGTTTGAAATAGACTATGCTCACATAAAGTAATTTTGGATTTTTACTGTATAATACTGAACAAGGCCCGGTGGGACACATGCGGTAGATGGTTACGTTAAGATTATACGGATAGGTATATAGAGGTCAAGATAACGGTTAACCCTAGCCCTGAACAGGTTAAGATTGTAGTGATCAGGGAAGCATCTTTTTTGGAGTCTGTTCCACAAAGCAGCGGTACGCGGGAAGAATCTGTCCAAGAGGAACTTACTTCTCACCGATACAATATGGTGGGTATGTGGTTTGCTACAACAATATATAACATGGCGGGTTCTAACCGTAAAGGTTAGACATAGCTTAATCAAGGAATGAACTACATTCCTTGATTATGCTATGCCTAATCTTTACGGTCCGAGTACTTTCCAAGGAAGTAGCGATAGGGCAGCAAAAGTTTTGCCATATCCCGTCTGTGAGAGAGAGGTTGGTGGATAGAAAATAATTCGTGGTAAGTGAGGGGGTGAGTAGTTCCCTCCCAAGTATGAGAAAAGTACACAATTTTTGCCCTGATCTGGGTCTTATAAACGTAGAAGATACGATGAACAGTCAGCTACTTACTGGACTGGCACAGGAAGCAGACCATTTTATCTGCATCTTTATCGATGGATCATATATAGTGGTTCCATTTGATGCCCCAAATATATATATATATACATCTCGTTTTCACTCCCGCGTGGTGATGTGTGACGTCATGAGCTGCGACGCGATTTTTGCTTCCGCGTCTCGTATACACGAGTTTTTCGTGGCTTTGAAATTTTTCATGCAACAAAAAACATTATTGTTTTGTCCGTGTATTATTTGACATATTGAAAAGTAATTGTCATCTTTGATAATGGCTTATGTAAGCCAAAAGCTTAGATTGGATTTAAACATGTATCAATATGGTGATTTCCTTTCGTCTTTCAATGATAATGTTATTAAGCTTATCAGACAATATGAAAGGAACTTACTTAAAATGAATAGACAAAACTTGTCTATGTTATTTAATGAAACATGCATCAATGAAAAATTGCTGCCTAAATATACAAATATAATATATATATATATATATATATATATATATATATATATATATATATATAAAAGTGAATATTAAAGTCAGCACTCAGAGGCGACAGGTGTTTCATGCTAGACGTAAAATTGCGTCTAGAATGAAACAGCCTGTCGCCTCTGAATGTTGA